CACTGGGTTCGAAGGAACCCAGGCACGGGTTCTTTCGAACCCATGCCTTGGGGTTCCAAGGAAGCAAAAAGAAAGACAAGCAATTGAAAAAAAAAAAAAAAGAAAAAGAAAAATCCAGACCACAAACCATAGCAAGATTAAAACATAATATAAATTAACAACATCAAATCAAGCCAAAAACACCAACCATCCTTCTCTCATGAGTTTTCGATTCAGTAACAAACACAAAACCCATATAAAATTCACTAAACACAAGAGCAAGATCTGTTAAAAGCCCAGATAGAATATACTAAACCACAAGAATCTTGAGAGGAAAGGGGAGAACGATAGAATATACTGAAGCACAAGAATTGTTGGAACCCAGGCACGCGTTCTTTTGAACCCAAGCGTTGGGGTTTCAAGGAACCCAGTGGTAGAAAATTAAAAAAGTTTCTTTTTTTTTTTGTGAGTTTTGTTATTTGATGATGATGATGAAGCCATAAGAGTAGAGATTAGTGGAGATGTTTGGATTTGTAGAAGTTGAAGAAAGAGAAAAGGAAAGAGGAAAGGGAGGAACAAAAAAAAAAAAAAAATTTGTTGGAAACGGTCCAAGTTGGACTTGCTGACATGTTAAAAAATATCTAAGTTGGTGCTGATATGTAAATGTATAAAGGAAATAACGATACACGTGTAGCACGTCATCGTTTGGCATTAAATTTTACCTCATTTCTCCGAATTAGAAATCACAAAGGATAAAAATTCATATATTGAAATATAAGAAGTAAAACGCCTCAAATTCGAAATCTTTAAGTGCCAATGGGTACCTTTCGCCGAAGAGCAAGAGTGTTGTGGGATACTGCACATCCTAACAATGCACAAGTTTCTACGTTTATCGGTCAAGATTCTAGACTGAAAAACAGTCACACACATGGGGATGTTTGTTTCAATTTTGTTTTTTTTTTTATTTTATTTTAACAATTTTATAAAAAATCGAATTCGAACTGTTGTAAGGGAAAGGAGATACACTTAAATATGATTTGATATCATTGAATCCGAAGATGCAAGTGCTTGTTTCAATTTTGTTTTAATAATTAATAATTGTTAGTTTTAATTAAATATAATAAATATTTTTTTATTATA